TCTCTCTCTCTCTCTCTCTCTCTCTCTCTCTCTCTCTCTCTCTCTCTCTCTCTCTCTCTCTCTCTCTCTCTCTCTCTCAGCAGCCTTGACAGCCACATACATCAATACCTTGCATTTGAAACAGAACATGCCAAACATAGACAGAGTGAGATCAGTGGAGGACAAAGCAATGAAGTTTTTCCTGAAGCTCCTGACCTGTGGGCGTGGTGTGCCTGCATTGAAAAGTGTCGGAGAAGCATGAGTGAACCATCTCTCAGACAGCAGGTGATAGGCCTTAATAGCCATGTCAACGTTCTCCTTGTGAACACCAACAGCAACTCTCATGAGCATATGCTGAGGCCTCTCCACTACTTTGCCCTCAATCCTCAAGAGATATGACCGCTCCAGAGTCTTGAACCCAAAGTAATCATAATCGAAGTCCCGATCATATATGATTTCGCTGTCAAGCCGTGACGCATTCTGAGAAGCCATTATTCGCCACATGCACGCACACACACGCAGACACACAGAAAAACAAACAAACAAACAAACAAACACTTCACGTTCAATCCAATGATGATAATGATGTACGCATGTTAATGAGAATCAGTCAGTCAGCTAGACGAGCTAACCAAGAAGAGCACGATATTTCATAGAGTGCCAAACTCCAGGCCGTGATCAAAGAACACTTAGTCATTCTATGCACACACACACACACACACACACACACACACACACACACACACACAGACTCAAACGTACTGCCATTCATGCCTGGGGCTCGGAACAACAGTCTGCTACCGTGTTCACCCAAATAGAACGCCCGGTTGTTATCCCTGTATTTGGGTACAGTTTCAGTCCAGATGCAGTGATAATGACCAGGCGTTCTATTCGGGTGAAGACGGTAGGCTTGCATAACACTCGCTGGCACTGATTCGAGAAAAGAATTCAACACTGTACAAGCCACCAGATGCGTACGTCTTTTTCAATCATCCAATCGGGCGATTCTCAATCATTCTCATCAAGTGCATGTACAATTGCCATACGATTCAACTGTGTTACCAATCGGGCCGCCCGGGTGAGCCGGACAAGGACCAGGGAAGGTCCATGTGAAAGAAAAAGAAAAGAAAGAAAAAAGCTGAACAACTTTTGCCTCAGGGTCGAATCGAAATTCTTGTTTTTTTTTTCATTTTTTGCACAGTCGGGCAAGGGCTCCCGGGCCACGCTGGTAACATAAGAGTACAAAAATGATTTCACTGCTAAATTGACCTATCCATTTGAGGGGTTGAGACCATCGCACTTACCTTCATGACAATTTCGTAGACATCATCAGCAATAAGAGGAGCCTTCTGGTCCGAGCGCGGATTGATGTGATTGTACATATCTTTGATCCTGAATAAAAGAAACACAAAAAACGAAGAAATGAAAGCAGGAAACAGAGAAACGACATAGGGGAGAAAATAACTTTAAAATTTAA